TTCCATTTTGCCCACGAGATGGATAGTTATCTCATATCGATCTAAATTGGCCTAGAGGCTGATTTTGATCTCTAAATCAGCTTCACTAGCCGGTTTAGCCGTTTTCTACAAAAACCCATCTTGATTTGGCCTTTTGGCTAGACCGAGGTGGTTGGCGACTCCATATCACCGCAAGGCGTTTAAGTGTTGCGATCGTGCTTGTCAACTTGTCACAAAAAGTTCCCAACCCTAACAACCTGTTGAGGACATCAACACCATCGATACATCCACGTCCCCACAAGTACAACTTCATGGTCCTATTACCCGCGTTCGTACACGTCAACTTAACTATCAGGTGAGTTCTTTCTTGAGTTCATGTTCCTCTTCTTTATACCCCGGAGACGTGTGCACTCTTGTTTTACTTAGGAACGATGGAGAGGATCCAAAGGGGAGAGGATTCGCGCGGGGTGGATTCGGACTGCAGGACAACGCTAACTTCTGACGGCCGCCAGGACTTCATGCGAACTCCGATTTGTGCATGCAAGTACTTCATGGAAAGCTTATCAGGTCTACTTTCAAATGGATCTAGCCACATGTCCATATCTATTCTGGAGCGGCCGCAATTTTTATTTTACTCCCGACTATTTTCTGTCCATGGTGCTGCGTCACCTCTTTTGGCCCAATGGATTGTGTATCAAGTTGGGCCCATTAGGGGCACGTCCTAGGGTTTGAGCACGACCCTGTGGTCGTTCTTCCCTTCTTCTTATACCTCTAGCCACTGCCAAGAACACTTTGGTTTTGTTTAGATCAAAGTATAGCGTCGCTACTTTGCTGAGTTGATCTCGTGATCGATTAGATCGCCGAATTGCTTGTTACTGAACCCCACTTGTTACTGTTGTTGATTCATTCCAATATCTTTGATTCGCAAATTGAGTTGCTTATTCATCTTGTTCTTGCTGGTTCTCGATTGCTTGCAGGAACAAATACCCTCGTGGTTGGGTGATTGTGCATCCGTCAAGATTCACGACCACCTCTGGAGTTGGTGTAACGATTGCTAAGGCACAACATCCCTGGATAGTTGTAGTCGTATCGCCAACGTCGCTCCATCCAATCGTCTTATCCCTCTCATCGAAAGATCGGGACACCCTTGCGCACATCACCTGTTTGGTTGGAGGGAGTTGGTGATAGGGAATGGGAGTTTAGGTTATCTGAGAGTTTAAGCCTGTAATTTGGTTGGAAGACATGGGAATTTGAGAGGGTTTGGGATAGGGAATTAAGGGGTCCAACTCTCACCGATCCCTTACCAAGGGCATGTTAATTCGTGCGACTCGGAGGGAATTCGACGCGAAAACAAAACCAAGGATGGGGACTAAAAATGTAACTCTCATGACCAATCCTACCATCAATCCCCTCCTTCAAACTCCCATTCACTTTCCCTTCTCTTGCCGTATAGGCCCTAAGGAAAGGCTAGTGATGTGCCACTATATGGAGAGGAATTACCTCATTCGTCCACGCGAACTAGCTATCAACATGAAATGAATTGAGTGAATAAGGCAGAAAAGAAAAAAAAAATCTCTAGACACTACCTGCTCCCCTTCGAGTCCAAGTATCAGGTGAGCGCTATCACCATTTGGCCTTCACCAAATTTTTGGTGTTGGTAAATGCACCTACGCCACTTGGCTCGCACACGCAACCCTGCCCCGAGTTCTGTTCTCCTTTCGTTCTCTTCCTTCTTTTTGGCCGAGAATTTCAGGTTGAGATATCTGCTTATCGGTGAAATTTCAAACCGAAATTTAAATCCTTGACTATAACTAGTGAAGACGGCAAAACATACCCCAAGAAATTTATGAACCACAGCTAGCTAGTGAACACATTAAAAAAACCTAAGTGATTAAATCCCTAACAACAACTAGCGAAGGCGGCAAAACAAATCCCAAGAAAGATAGCTAGATAGTGAAGACATTAAAAAAACCTAAGAAATCCAAGAATGACAGCTAGTCAAGAAAAGAAAATGCAGTGTGGACAAGAGGCTGGGTACATTTTCTTGAGCGGGTTAGCTAGCTCGTGAAGACATTAAAAAAACCCAAAAAGTTTATGAATGATAGATTGAGCGGGTTAGCTAGCTGGTGAAGACATTAAAAAAACCCAAGAAGTTTATAAATGACAGAGAGAAGGAAAAAATGTGGAGTTGACATTTTCTTGAGCGGGTTAGCTAGCTGGTGAAGGCATTAAAAAAACCCAAAAAGTTTATGAATGACATATTGAGCGGGTTAGCTTGCTGGTGAAGACATTAAAAAAACCCAAGAAATTTATAAATGACAGAGAGAAGGAAAAAATGTGGAGTTGACATTTTCTTGAGCGGGTTAGCTTGCTGGTGAAGACATTAAAAAAACCCAAGAAGTTTATAAATGACAGAGAGAAGGAAAAAATGTGGAGTTGATATTTTCTTGAGCGGGTTAGCTAGCTGGTGAAGGCATTAAAAAAACCCAAGAAGTTTATGAATGACATATTGAGCGGGTTAGCTTGCTGGTGAAGACATTAAAAAAACCCAAGAAGTTTATGAATGACAGAGAGAAGAAAAAAATGTGGAGTTGACAAGAGGCTGGGTACGTTTTCTCTAGCTAGGAGGCCGAAATCCAGTTTGGGCGGGCTGACTTGCTGCCACAATTCCAAACCATTTACGACGCCAGCACATTTTTTACTTTGTGTGGGGTCGAACCCTTGCAGGCTCCCTTAAAATGAGGGTGTCTCCCTTATTAAGGGACTTTTAGATTTGGTTGTTACTAGGAAACGACTAGCACAATTGCCAACTCCATGCCCCCCAAAGCATGGGGTTACAAGTCCGCACTACCAGACCAGGCAGCTAAGATTGAGATACGCCCTCTTTTATGTGGCTTCAACACAATAAAAATTCACGGTATGGTACTAATTAAAAAGAGGGGTTCCAGCGAGTACGATACCGTCTCCAACTCCCCCATCGGCGTGCTAACCCGCGCGGGCTCGACGACATACGCGGATTGGAGCGAGCTAGCAGAAGTAGCAGCTGGGACGCATGAGAGAGAGACCTGATTGCAGTTTGATCGCAGTTGCGTCGCCCCCCATGTTTTCGTAGACCTTTATGTGTGCTAGCTGTGCGTATATATGCGTTTCTTGCGCCAAACGAGACGTACGAGAGCTTTTGCGTCCTCCAGCTGGTTGTTCTTTGTAGGTTGTTGCTAGCGGCTTGCATGCAATGGGCATGCAGAATTGCAGGTGGTGATCACGTTCTGGTGTTTGCAATGGTACCAACGCAATTAGCTAGGAAATTAAAACCGCCTAGCCGTGATTTGTGGATCAGGTGACGCCGTGCGAATCCGAGGCGATCGATATACTCCTCGGTCCTCGCCCACCAGCAGAGGGGAGGGGAGTGCCGGATTCCTGTGGAAAAACCAGCCATCCAAGCCAGCGGCAAAACTCCTCTTCATTTAAAAAAACACAGGGGCAAAATTGCAAACTTTATGTTTCTCTGAACAATTTTTGCTAACCATCTCTTTTGTGTGTACCAGATCTGCTGCCTAGAAAGTTAGTTATTCATCTTGGTGCATCTGGCTAGATCCTTATATTGGTTAAAAAATACTTTCATGAAAACACAAGGAACTTATCAGGCTTTTATTTTTATTTTATTATCATCCTTGCTTACTGACGTGTTGTCACAATCAGAGCAAACCTCTTGCGGGTCTGCATTTATGAGATATAAACATGCTCAACACAAGTAATGCAGACTAAATTGGAGTTTTTTTATTTGTTGACAAATTCCTCATAGAAATTGGTTGACCTAACATTCTGGATGATGTGGACATCACTACCTCGGATACACACAACAATCTTCCAACGGTCATTCAAAGACCGATAACAAGAGCTCGTACGCGACAATTAAATTTAGAGGTGAGCTCGTTCTTATGTTCCTCTTTGTATGAATTCGAGACTAGATTGCTACATAATGATTATATTATGATTAGAAACAATGGAGGGAACAAGGAGACACTTGGAGAAGGACTTAGAGCCATGGAGGATCATCAAGGATGTCCAAGTCAAGGTGGAGGCCCAAACCAAGTCGACGTCGGGTGTAATTCGGAGTCTAGGACCAGTCTACACTAAAACGGGCGCCAGGTCGTATACGTGCTCGGATTGGGGCGTTTTTTATATGGATGGAAAGCTAAGAAGATAACATTTCCATTGGTTTTGGTCGCACGTCCAAATTCTTTCCGAGTCAATGGGAATTGACCGAATAAGTTGACGTCCAGAATCTGTCCCGGTGCTGCGTCACCGTATTTGGGCCTTTGGCCTATTTATCGTGTTGGAACCCATTAGGGTTGTGTCGAGAGGGGGTTGCATGACCCTAAACTCTATATATCAGTACCCGCCGCCATCTTTAGGTTTTTGGGTTTTGCTTAGATTAATATGTCGAGAACAGTTTCACCGCTAGATCGGTTTGTAAGACCCCAACTCGTGAGCTTAATCATTCATGTGCAATTTTGCTTGTTTTCTATCTCGTTCTTGTTTGTGTTCTTCGATTGGCAAACAGGGATTAGCCTTCTCGGCGAGGTCATCCGCGTTTCGACATGGGTGATAACCAGAAGAGACGTGGTGCTGCGATTGCGGGGCTCAAGAGCGTGTGCGTTCAAGAAGCCGGATCGATTTGTGTTGCGACTCCGCCCAAATTGTTGTTTATCAGAACATTTTGGAAGATCGGGAACCCTAGTGCACATCACTGGTGGCGGACACTTAGGCCCTGTTTAAATTCCCCAGTAACTTTTTGCAAAAATACCATATCGAATCTTTAGACACATGTATGGAACATTAAATATAGATAAAAAGAAAAACTAATTGCATAGTTTTTTCATTCGTGTCTAAAAACCCCTTCCGACATCCGGTTAAACGTCAGATGTGACACTCAAAAATTTTCATTTCACCTACTAAACATGCCCTTAAAATTGTCCTACCATCGACAACAAAATGTTTGACTAAGAGTGTTGGCGATTGTTTATGCGGCACTCAATCGAACATCTCCTGTGCAGGACAAAATAGTTTTGCTCTCGTTCATCGTAGCCAAAATCAAATAGGCAAAAGAAAATAATGAACTGGGAGGGAGAAGAAACTGAAACTGGACAGCAGAAGCAAACTTGCCATAGAGCTATGGAGACCGGACGTGAGGGCCGGTATAGGAAACGGTGTTGGTGTGAGAGCGAGCCCACGGACCGGACGGCGCGACGGAGACTGGCGGGGATAGGGGTGAGGTGGTGTGACGATGACCTAATGAAGTCTCGGTGGATAACGGACGGTGACGTGATCTACGGTGAGGCGAGCGCGGATTGGCGGCAGCTGGAGGTGAATCGGTGATGGCGCTAGGACGAGTTGGTGCGGCGAGCAGAGGAGGCAGATGGGGCGATGTGCGGAGGAAGGTTGCGAAGGAAAAGGGATGGCGATTGATTTGCGCGTGGAAGGAAATCGACAATCGAGTGCGTGATTTTTCACCGGTAACCCCGTGTGGGTGTGGTTATTACCGATTTGTAGCCCGTTACTGTACTTGCTCTTAGGTTGGCGTTTTGCTTTAAGATTGTGAAACGCCACGTGTCATTACAAGAGAGGAGGAGATCAACGAAATGGCAGGTCTCGTAATTTTTCTTTTTTTGCTTCCGCCGCGGCGCCACCCCCGTCCGCCCGTCCCTTCGCCGGAAGCGGCGACTTCCAACGGCGTCCTCTCCTCCTCGGCGCCGCGGCCATGGCCTCCTCGCCCGTCTCGCTCTCGCGCCGCCACCACCTCACCCCGCGCCCCGCCGCCTCCACCTCCACCTCCCTTCGCCGCTCGCGCCTCCCGGTCGGGTGCGCCGCGGCTGGCCTGCGCCGACATGGACGACGACGGGGTCTACATCCGCTGGTGCGTGGAGCTGGCGCGCAAGGCGGCCGGCCACACCAGCCCGAATCCCATGGTGGGCTGCGTTGTTGTCCGCGGCGGCCGCGTCGTCGGCGAGGGGTTCCACCCCGAAGCCGGCCAGCCCCACGCCGAGGTTGCCTCCCCTTTCTCGAACTCTCATTTTAGAGTTTGGTACATGAATAATAGAATGGCTTTTTTTTATATCATTATTATTCATTAATTAGTGTTGCTTCGTGCAAGATTAAGAATGTCGAGATTTTTCACATCCGTTCAATCCAGATGGAATCATCACGCACAATGTGTGATAGAATATTGTGCCTAATCTTGATTTTTGCCACACCATCTGTAACATTGTAAGATGTGTGTATGAAAAAATTAAGGAATTAGTAGATATTAATACAACGAGCGAAATTGCAGCTCTGTATTGTAAAAACCAGTGCACAGTGTATGATTATGGAAAAGAAAAATGTCCGTTTGGTACTTAGAAAACTTAATGCTGATTTATAACGAAGTTGATACTAGTATACTAACATAGTAGTGTTACCAACCGCAGGTATTTGCTCTGAGAGATGCTAGGGATTTAGCAGAGAATGCGACGGCTTATGTGAGCTTGGAGCCCTGCAACCATTACGGGAGGACACCTCCCTGCACCGAAGCACTCATCAATGCCAAACTTAAGGATGTCGTGGTTGGGATGACTGATCCAAATCCTATTGTGGCATCCAAGGGGATTGAAAGGCTCCAAAGTGCTGGGATTGATGTCAGGGTGTGTATGGAGGAAGAAGCGTTATGCCGCAACCTAAATGAGGCTTATATCCATTGCATGCTTACTGGGAAGGCCTTTGCAACTTTGAGGTAAATATGCAACCATATTCCTATTTCTTTTTCTTTTTCTTGAGGCACTTATTTAATTAGGTAATGGCAGTACACATGGTTTGCAATTATGGATCTGCTAACGCGTATTATATTGTAGCTAATTTTTGCAAGCAAACAATGTTACATATCTACCGCGATAGTTCTTCTACAATGTGGTTTGGCCAAATTTAGGATGCTAACTGATTAAGCTATGTTAGTGCAATAATTGTCATCTTCTGTTCCACGACATATCATGCTGTTTTTTTCCCTTTCATTTGAAATACAGTGTGCAATTCGGTGATGGTTTGTCTGCCACATGAATAACAGAACTACGCTCTCTGTGAATGGAGTCGTCGTAAATCAAATTGGGACTGGAGCTGATCAACCCGGAGGGTATTACTCACAGTTACTGAAAGAATATGATGGAGTCATAATTTCAGGCATTTCGGTCAATATGACTACCTTGCCTACATCCCATGAAGCTGGTGCAAAGCAGCCTCTTTATATCATCATAGCACAGGGAGGAAATTCCCAATTAAATATTCAGTTTCTCAGAGAAGAATGCGCATCTGAGGCAGTAGTTCTGACTGACAGTCCTGTCACCGTGAAGCCACCAGGAGTTGAAGTTTTAGTCCTTGATCGGATGAGCTTGGAGTTCATTCTTGAAATTCTCGCCCAGCGAGGGCTATGTAGTGTGTTGGTGGATTTTAGGGAGGCTGGAGGAGACTTTGCATATCTTCTGAAAAACTTTCAGGAGGAGAAGCTGGTACAGAAGGTTGTTGTGGAGCTCCTGCCTATCTGGACAGTGACCAAAGCCTCAAAGGGCAGAAGTTAGAAAAAAGACTGGGAACATGGATGGGTAACCTATCCCATGCTGGAAGAGCTATTCAAATTAATGCCTGCTTATCTTCAATTCCTTCATATGCTATGGGCTTTTATTCCCTCCCTGAGGGTGTTCACCACAAATTTGATTCGGTTAGAGGGAGATATTATTGGGCTGGAAACAAAATAAATGGGAAATACCATATGGTGAAATGGGAGGATATGGCTTTCCCAAAAGACTTTGGAGGTTTGGGCTTTACTGAAACTAGAGCTATGAACATTGCTTTGTTGGCAAAATGGATTTTCAAACTAGAATCTCCGGATCAAAGTCTGTGTACTTCCCTCCTAAGGAACAAATACCTTCAAGAGGGTGGAGTGTTCCAGTGCAGAGCTGAGGAGGGCTCCCAATTCTGGAAGGGAGTGCTAAGCACTAGAGATTGGGTGAAACTGGGAACAGAATGGCTAGTGGGAGATGGTAGACACATTTTATTTTGGAAGGATGTCTGGGTTCACCCTTGTCCTTTAAAAACATCTTTCCCCTTACTTTTTGAGATTTGCAATCAACAATCTATACTAGTGGCTGAAATCAAACAGGCTGGGATAGAGGGGCTGTCTTTTAGGAGATCTTTTGGCCCAAGAGAGATGGATGAATGGGAAGAGCTGAGAGTCATAATTGAGAACATTAGCACTAGCCAGACTTATGATACTTTGAGATGGGCTCTAAAGGATAATAAAACCTTCACTACCCAGTCCCTTTACAGAGTTTTAACTTTCAGGGGGATGATAGACACCCAATTACAACAGCTTTGGAGTGCTCCTTGCCCTCTAAAGATTAAACACTTCATCTGGTTAGGTTTGAGAGATAGAATTCAAGCCTCAGCTAATTTAGCAAAAAAGGGTTGGAGTGGTTCAGTCCTGTGTTTACTCTGTGGGGAGCCAGAGACAACAAAACATATCATTTTCAGATGCCCTATGGCTACTTTTGTTTGGTGTTTGTGTAGAGATGTGCTGGGTTGGGACCGGATACCTGTCAACTTCGATGATTTTTTCTGTTTAGCTCAGCTCAGAACTGTTTTCAAACACATGAATGTTAAATTGGCGCTGCTTGCTGCTGTTTGTTGGACTCTTTGGATTACCAGAAATAACATGGTTTTTCGTGATAAAATAACCTACTCCCCACTAATACTCCCTTTCCAAATCACTTCTTTGTTAATGCAGTGGAGGCCACTCTTCAAAGTTGCGGAGACTGATGAACTGGAGTTGCTGACAAGAAGACTAAAGGACTGCTGTGCTGAACTGCGAAATGCTAGAACTGGGGTGGGTTAGTTAGAGTTTCTTACGGTCTGGTACTTTGTTGGAGGGGTCTGCTATGTCTGCTGTATACGCTCTTGTCTAAACCTGTTGAGTTGGGCCGGAGGGGTCCCCTTTGGTTGATGTATGCACTTTGATGTAAGCTGGAAACCCCAGCAAGGACAAATTTTGCTTTCTATATAAGCAGTAAGCAGGGTCGTTTCGGCCTTTTCTCTAAAAAAAGCCTCAAAGGGCCAGGTCACCTGGCGTTTGGTGGGAGCTAGTCATTTCCACTGAAGGATGTGGAGCACAAGGAGGTAAATGGATGCATGCTGCTTGAGGGCTATGTATAGTATCTTTTCTGTTTGATGATCCTCACCTGAGTTGCTCTGCTTGTTCGCCTGACTCTGGTAAACAGACAGACATGTAAACTTGACTGCATGGCTAGATGGTCACATTGAGCAGGTGTCATGCCATTTTTTTCACGCATTCTTAGAATTGTATTAACTTGGCTGTTGGCAAAAGTAGAGTTTTTGCCTTCCTTGGCCCATGTCTTGGCCATATTCCGGAAAGTCAGCAAGGATAGAAGGCACTTTTATTGGCTGAGGATGAGGAGGTTCATGGTGGAAAATGTAAAGTGAATTGGCAGAAGGCATGCTCATGTATGGAATTTGGAGGACTTCAAGTACCATATTTGGAGAAATTTGCTAGAGCTCTCCAGATCCACTTGGCCTAGTGGTATGAATGAGGTGCTCGAAACAACCCATCAGTAGGTTCATCGACTCCTTGCAATGACACAATCACACAAGCCAAGCTCTATTTGCTGCACCCACAGATGTTGTCATTGTAGTCACAAGGCAATCTTTTTGCAATCAAATTGGACCGGACTGCGACCATTCAAAAGCTTGGAGCCAAATCCATACAAACACTCAAAAAAGGAAGAACAGTATGGTCTTTTGTGCGATGCGAAATGAGCAACGGGTGGAAGACATTTGACATGATCTCTCAAGTAATCTTCTGACCGTATATCTCAGCATTTGGAAACTGCTTTTGCAAAGTACCCTTGTCCTTGGCGGATCAATTCGAGGATACAGTCAGATGGAAGTGGAATGCCTTTGGGGATACAGTCTGCAATTCTGCATACCATGTGCAATTTGGGAGATGATCAATCCTGCATCAGCAAGTTTGATATGGAAACCATGGGATTCTTCATTCGATTATTGTGTCCAATTCTTCTTCTCAAAGTAAGTTTGGAACGGCATCATGGCCTGGGTGCTCCTTCGGCAACAACTCTCTAACTGGAATTTTGGGGTCCATCCTGGTTTGTTGGATTGGATCTGAACCAACCGCTCAGAAAAAGTTGAAGTGGATCTTCATTTTCAGAAGAGCTTTGCCCAATATACCTCTCGGTACGTTTGGATTCATTGTGAACATGTTTACACACTTATTTCTTCATACATCAGTTTATCAGCCGAAAGATGCTAATTTATCTTTAAATAGTACTCCCTCTGTCCCTAAATATAAGGGATTTTGATTGGATGTGACAGTCCAGATTCGTTGTACTAAGATATGTCACATCCAACCAAAATCCCTTATATTTAGGGACGGAGGGAGTATCTCATTGTTAATCCACCGTGGTCATGTTTCTGGATATGCTAGGCGGTGCACAAGAACATGTACAAGTATTAGGCCTCCTTTGGAATGAAGGATAATAAGTGTAGGATTTTGATTCATATGGATTGAATCACTGTATCAGGCTATCCGCATTTGGATCATCCCTGGAACGAGTCATAGGAATACTAAAGGCAATATTCCTTTGCTACGGATTTGATGGCAGAAACACAGGAAAGTTCCCATCTACTCACAGCTCATTTTTTTGATTTCCTTCGCTTGGGGAAGCTGCTAATCACATCATCCAAGCATGGGGACAACTGAGAATAGCTCGTTAGCTTGAGAATTCCTGTGTTTTGTTCTAACGGCCTCAATTTATCTAACAAAAATTCCTGTGTTTTTGGTATACTCCATCCGAACATCAACTCATACAAATTTTCTACATTTTTCAATCATCTTTTTTACACATGCATTCCTATTATATTCCTGTATTTTTTACACATGCCCTTATTATTCTTTCCCTTTGTGGTCACTGGTCAGACGAGAAGTCAACGTGACAATGATCCGCTGACCTAAAGTCCTAAACTAACCAAGTAGCCAGTCAACTGGAATCTGAATGACACTATGATAATAAGATGCACATGTGCTACCTGGATATCCTTAACAACATGTGTAAAGGTCTAAAGACAAATAAATTACTAATAGTTTCGCACGCGCACTAAAGACATTTGGCCTCATTTTTAGCTTATGCTTATACTATTTATCAGCAAAAATTGAAATTTTCAACATTAAATTTGGATTAGATTTTGGGATTATTTTTTATCGTAGTTTATTTTTCAATATTTTTTTTATAGTTAAGAACATGTAACAACCTGAATTCACCCACCCAACGTGGCAGAAAACAACACCCAAGACGAGATAACGAGTTTCACAATATTTTGTGAGTTTGGTTCAAAATCAAAAATAAACTGGGCGGTTTTGTGAGGGGAAGCTCTAAATTTGGGCGATAAAAATTCAACAGAAATTCGAACAGATTTGTGACAAATCCAGTCCACTCCAACGCATGGACCGAGGCCGAGCAGTGCAATTTCCAACGCCGCTGTCATTTCCAATCTCCCACCCATTTACTCCCTCAAAAAACCGCGGTAAAAATTTGCCTCTCGCGCCAAAAACATTTCCGGGTTCCCTCCTCTTCTCTTCCCGCGAAAAACCTCCTTTAAAACCCACCACCCATCTCGAGTCCCCGCCATTTCTCCATCCCCAATCCTCTCCTCCTCCTCCTCCGCCTCCGCCTCAATCCCTTCCTCCATCCACCCGCCTCCGTTGTTCTCGCCGGCGGCGACGACATGCACGGCGACTGGCCGGAGTCGCCGTCCCAGGAGGTGCTCTACGCCGACGAGATCGCCGCCGTCCGCGCGGTTCTTGGCGCGGGCCTCCCCGAGGCCCGCGTCGTCGCCGCAATCTCCCGCTGCGGAGGCAACGCCGAGCGCGCCATCAACGCGCTCCTCGATGACGCCACCGCCGGCGTCGAGGACAAACCCGAGCCCAAGAAGGGTAAAGGTGCCAAGACGGCTGCTCCTCCGGTGAAGGCGGAACGCGACGCTGGTGGCGCCGCCCCGAAGCCGCCGCCGCCTCCGGTGAAGGTTGAGGTCCTCGACGACGAGCCCCTGGGGAGCCAAGAATCGAACGGCTGCTCCGCGAGGGTCAAGAAGGAGCGGGAGGACGAGCTGCTCGTCAAAGCGCCGCCTCCGATGCCGGATCGGGTCAAGGAGGAAGACGGCGTCGCGGCCAAGCGAGGCGCGGCGACGGCGAACGCCGCCGGCATAAGCCTGGTGCCGAGGCCGAAGAAGAGGTCTCGCGTGCACGACGAGGCGGACACCATCGACCTCACGGCGACCCACCCGGTGCCGTACCTGAACCCGAGGCCGATCCGGGCGGTGCCGCCACCGGAGGCCATGGAGATGCTCGAGTCGCGGCGTGTGCGTGCCAGGCCGCCTCCGCCGTCGAGTGATCTGAGGATGGTGGTGGCGCCGCCTGATGCCGAGTTCGGCGAGTTCCCCGAGGAGCGCGACTGGTTCCTCGTCGGCAGGTCGTACGTCACCGGCCTGTCCACCAACCGCGGGAGGCGGAGGCTGGACGCCGGCGAGCTCGTCCATTTCTCGTTCCCCTCATTGGAGAGGACCTATGGTGGGATCAAGGTGTCGAACAAGAAGGCGGCTGCTTTGGCGGAGATCGTGCGCTTCTCCACCAATCGAGCTGGAGAGGTTTGCTGCTCTTGTGATGCTATCATTTCATTTCTAATAATGTTGTTGGTAATGGTTGATTTATTTGTGAGAAATTGTATTAATTTCTGTTATTTTTCATTGTTATTGTAGATTGGGAAGCTATCTACAGAATGGACCAAGTGCCTCGTGCCACTGGTAAGCTCATCCAAGGTGAAGATTCAGGGGAAGATTGTGTTTCCCACGGTGGAATTGAGATTGATGCAGGAGATTTTGTTGTATGTTAGGTAATGGTTGATTATGCATGTTTGCTTTTCTTCTTTTTTTTAGTTTGTGTATTGTGTCATTGTGATGATTTGTGTTAAATTGTTGATGGTAATGTTTTTTTTTTTTCCTTTTCTGCAGCTTCTACATCCACCGTTCTGTATTCACCGCAAGCGGCAACAACTCATCATGGGACCTGCTTGCTCCTGCAAATGTTGATTATTCCACTAACCCTCTTTACAGGCTGTTCAGATTGCTCAAGCTAAGGGCATTCACCAAGGTAGCACTCATGTCAATTCCCTGAAACTCTTCAGTTCTTGTAGTGCTCTTGATCCTGATGATTGTATATGCTAATGCTTGTGTCATGGGCAGGCTGATATCACTCCTGAGGAGCTTGCTGCAGGAAAGAGACCGCGGAATCTAAGGGTGAGCTTCAATTTCTCTTGCCAATCGTGAACTGTGATTATTTGTTCAATCGTATGTCTCTGTAGCATGTAGTACAGAAGAGCAAGCCTTTGATTAAATATACTTAATTGATTGCTAAAACAAAATGTACTTCGTTGTGGCATTGATCTAAATTACTTTATGAATTGTTACCGTGATAATTTCTGCTAGCATGTAATATCTTTTTCCGAGTTATGTGCTTTTTGTTGATCTTTTTGTTTTGGATACATGAACTAGGGTGATGACAATGATGAAGATGAACCCATGGCTATAGTTGGATTGGAAAACCGACGCACAGCTGGCCAAACATTTCCTGAGCAAGGCACTGATGAGCAAGCTATTTCAGAGGCTGCATTAAACAAAATTGTTGGCACTGCTGAAACATATGACTTGGAGGTAAGAACAAGACCTCTATTTGATTGCCACTCTGCACTATCGGAATGTTTGTATATGAACAATGTTATGATTTTAAACAATCTGTGGAATACAGGAAGCAGAGCCCCCAAGCACTCTTGTCTCCGTTCTAAAACCATACCAGAAGGAAGCTCTGTTCTGGATGTCTCAATTGGAGAAGGGTATTGATGGTGATCAAGCCAAAAAAACCCTTCATCCCTGTTGGAGTGCCTACAAAATCGTCGACAAGTATGTTCCTTCAGTTTCATTTGCATAGTTGCATCGAAATGTTAATTAGGAAAATGTCCAGAACTAAATATTCACAAGTTGTAATGTTTGTTTCCAGGAGAGCTCCTGCAGTGTATGTCAATGTTTTCACTGGCGAGGCAACAACCCAGTTTCAAAGTGTAACTCAGTCAGCAAGAGGAGGGGTAAGTTTGTTTTGTTTTAAGGGTCACTCGTATACGCATTGTACCTTGTTTAGGCTGTACATAGACAGTATTATTTTTTTAATGACAATTCTAGATGGTAGTGTTCTGCTTTCCCTGATTTGTTTTGTAGTCTCATTAGATTGCCCAATGCAGCATTATATGCTTTTTTAATATTACCACTAGAACTTTAATATAAACAAATGAAATGGTTGCTTTTGCATGCTTGATGAACACTGCAATGGTTGCTGGGGTTTACAAACTTTGAAGAAATGGTTGCTTTTGCAATGCTTTCTCACTTTCCGCACTTTTTTCTGAGGAAGTTGTATATATGCATGTTTTTCAGGGGAAATTTTTGTTAGAATATGAATATTTGCATCTGCCTAATCTGATGGTGCTATATGTGTCATCTCTTGCTTTGCAGATACTAGCGGATGCAATGGGTCTTGGTAAAACTGTCATGACTATTGCTCTAATACTATCAAACCCAAGGGGGGAGTTAGAACAAGATAAGAGGGGTACTAGAGATCGTGACACCAAGGCACAAACTTCGAGATCCTCTGTAAGAGGAGGCACACTTATAATCTGTCCAATGGCATTGCTAGGCCAGTGGAAGGTAAGAAATTATATCTATGCTTACCATTATATTGTACTTTTCCGGTTTTATAGTTGTATTTTATTTTGCTTGCTTTCAACTTGAGAACAATTGAAAGGGGAACCTTTTAGGTTTGTCTTTCTTTTGTCTTCATTTTTTCCAGCCTTGCATTTTCAAGCAGCTTGTTTGATCCTTTTTCTAGTTTCTGCTAGGAACTTTTGATTTGCAAGACTAGTAATGTGATCATTGCCCTTTGCAGGATGAATTGGAGGCACATTCAACACCAGGAGCTCTTTCTGTGTTTGTCTACTATGGTGGCGACAGAACCACTGACCTGAGATTCATGGCTCAGCATAGTGTTGTCTTGACAACCTATGGTGTTCTTCAATCAGCTCACAAGAATGTAAGAGTTTGGACTGTGGCCTTCTCTACAGTGTAATGGTCATAGCTTTTTTTGCAAGAAGTGGTCATTATATTTTAACTAACGAAAAATGGTACTATTTACAGGATGGCAGCAGTATCTTTCACAGGATAGATTGGTATAGAGTTGTGCTCGATGAAGCACATACGATCAAATCTCCCAGAACCAAAGCAGCACGAGCAGCTTATGAATTAACTTCTCATTGCAGATGGTGCCTTACGGGTACACCATTGCAGGTGAGTTTGCAACCATTGCCATTTGTTATTTTAATACTTCCTGTTGAACTGCCAGAATTTGAAGCATTGATGAATAGTTTTGTAGTTTCTAGTAAGCTAACTTATCCGTATCACATTTGCTGCAGAATAATTTGGAGGACCTTTTCAGTCTTCTTTGCTTCCTACATGTAGAACCATGGGGTGACGCAAGTTGGTACGAACATTTTCTGGCTACATAAAATCTAATCCGATGTGTTATTGGGATTGAAAATCTGACTCAAGCTGTTTTGATTTCAAAAGGTGGAATAAGCTGATTCAAAGACCTTATGAGAATGGTGATGAGAGGGGATTGAAACTTGTCAGAGCTATTCTGAGGCCACTCATGCTGAGGAGAACGAAGGAAACAAAAGACAAAATGGGAAAGTACGCATTTTATTATTTTGTTACTTTGTCAACACAATAAACTGCATCAATTATCATCTGCCATGCCTTAGCTCTTGGAAGTACTGTTGCTCACAACAATTAAATGCTTGTTTCCAGTCCCATACTAGTCCTCCCACCAGCTAATATTGAGATTGTGGAGTGCGAACAATCTGAAGATGAACGCGATTTCTATGAAGCGCTTTTCAGGAGATCAAAGGTATCTTTGTTTTAAATTTTCTTGTTCAGGACTTTGGGTTAATATAAGAAATTGGAACCTTCACTGAATTGTTCTTTGGACCATTGTTCCCATAGTTCTTAATGTTCATGGCTGAGATTTGTTTTTGTCTAACACAAAATGGTACTCCCAACAGGTTCAATTTGATAAATTTGTAGCACAAGGCAGTGTTCTTAACAACTACGCTAATATTCTTGAGTTACTCCTTCGGCTAAGGCAGTGCTGCGACCACCCTTTTCTAGTGATCAGGTTAGACATGGATTGCAAAGAAATATGCTCCCTTACATTTTCATCATGTCATTTCTAACTCCTGTTAAATTCTAAATATGCAGTCGAGCTGATACTCAGAAGTATACTGACCTCGATGAGCTAGCACAGAGGTTCCTTGATGGGGTGCAACGTGATTCCGCGAGACGCAGTGCGCCACCTTCACAGGCGTATGTAGAAGAGGTTGTTGAAGAAATCCGCCAGGGCGCAACTACTGAGTGTCCAATCTGCCTTGAATCAGCTTCTGATGATCCAGTGCTCACACCATGCGCGCACCGGATGTGCCGTGAGTGCCTGCTCTCTAGCTGGAGGACGCCTTCTGGAGGACCATGCCCACTTTGCCGAAGCCCCATTACCAAATCTGAGCTGATCACATTGCCTAGTCAGTGTCGATTCCAGGTTGACCCTGAGAATAACTGGAAGGACTCATGTAAGGTGATAAAACTCATCAAGATCCTGGAGGGCCTTCAGGAGAAGAGGGAGAAGAGCATTGTGTTCAGTCAGTTCACTTCCTTCTTCGATCTTCTTGAGGTTCCCTTCAATCAGAAAGGGATCAAATTCTTGAGGTTTGATGGGAAGCTCAGCCAGAAACACAGAGAAAAGGTTCTGAAGGAGTTCAGTGAAAGCAAGGACAAGCTGGTATGCACATACATTTCTAGTTGTACTCTTGCTTTACTTTCTGCAACGTTTGATTCTTGAAGCATCACATATTCTGAAAATCCTTTTTCCTGAAAATTAGGTGCTACTTATGTCACTCAAGGCTGGAGGTGTTGGACTTAATTTGACTGCTGCCTCCAATGTGTTCCTAATGGTAATTGAACTATACACTGTCAATCCAATGACCTGCAAATACTTATTCTTGCACCAACTTTCTAACCTAAATGGTCACATCAACTTTTTTTTTTTTTTGCATTCATATAGGACCCATGGTGGAATCCTGCAGTGGAAGAACAAGCTATCATGCGAATTCACCGTATCGGGCAAAAGAGAGCGGTCCAAGTAAGGCGCTTCATCGTCAAGGTAAGGACATTGACAATCCCAGTCACAACATCTGCTCACTTTTGCCAGAAAGCACAGCAAAAATAAAAACACATTCTGTCTGGATTCCAGGATACGGTCGAGGAGCGGATGCAGAAGGTGCAAGCGTGCAAGCAGAGGATGATCTCTGGGGCGCTGACCGACGATGAAGTCCGCTCCGCTCGTATCGAGCAACTGAAGATGCTGTTTACATGAGAAGTCTTGATCATGAGTTTGCAGGATGTTGTACAGTTCATATTTTGTTCCCTGGAGACTTGCTAGCATTTTAGGGGAAATGATCCAATGTTTTAAGGGTTCGGACTTGTGAATGGGGATGGAATGGGTGTGAAACTATGTGCCCATTCGATTTTGTGGATATATCTCCATTCTGGTCTGAACATTTTGTATATAGTGGCTCTTCTTAACATGAAAGGCCTCTACCCTTTCTAAATCGTGATCTATTGTGCTGAAATGGCTGTTGGTGTTAACCAGGGAGTAAAAAATCTCTACTGAGGCTTCCTTTCATCCATGGTATATACTGACCTGTTTTGTTCTATTACCTCTTTCTCAGAAGAAAATTTTCTTTGGGAGGGGGATTTTTGTTAATTAAACAGAGTTATTACAATATCGAAGGACATGACCTCTCAATTACATACATTCTCTGTACTTCACAATGCATAGTCCTAGGTAATTGACCTAACTTGTGACTTTGTGAGCAGTACTACACTAACATGGCATTAAAATTAAAAAAATAGATGTGATGTTTCCCTTTTATGTACAATGAAAGTATAACTTCTGGTTCTGTAATATGAGAATACACAAATATATTAATTGACAATAGGATTTAATTTGGTGGATGGAGTTATTCACTCACGCCTCCACTACAACTGTGTTTCGCTTACCAAAGATATAAAATAGTTTCATCATATACACCTTAAATATATATCTATGCTGTATAAGATGGAGTATCATGTTTGAACGGCCTCCTTCAATATTTGTTGGTGTAAACCTGTAAGGTGTTACGCTTAGTTCTAATCATGTTAATGGCATAGCTAATTTATCATGCTTAGGGAGCATATTTTCTGAGCTACTAAACATTGTGTTTTATAAAAAAATACAAATAGAAGTTTTTAAAAACAAATTAAATATATTTTTCAAGTTTTAAATAGTTAATGAGCTAATTGCTCATCTCGTTATGCGTGCTCAAGCTAACCTCTGATTCAAATACAACGACTAGATTAATACTTTCATCCGTTGGTAGCATGGCCTACCATTATATATTCGCCCCTTTGAAACGTAGGATTGAAAGAAAGATAGAAATAGAAAAAAAAAGTAGGAATAGAATGTCCTACTCATTGAGATTATGAAACATATGAAAGTTTCAAAACTATCATTCGATTAGCACACAAAAAACACAGAAAGTCTGACACATGCAGAGAAAAATATGAGGTGAGACCTCATACTTTTTTTTTAAAAAAATCATTAGAATAGTCTATTTCATAGGAATTTTTTTAAAAATGGGTAGTAACCAATTCTTTATTTTAGAGGGTTCTGTATGATTATTTTTGATAAAAATTCTTAGTATCCCTTGGTTTTTTCTTGTTCCAAAGTGAGTTTGCTGTGTTCGGCACACGATGTTCTCAACTACTCTCTCTCGAATTCCGCGCGCACGTTTTTAAACCGCTAAACGATATGTTTTTTTCAAAAAGTTTCTATATGAAAGTTGCTTAAAAAAATCATATTGATCCATTTTTTTTAAAAATAGCTAATACTTAATTAATCACGTGCTAATGGACTGTGAGCAGATTGGTTCCCATCTCGTCCAAAGGAACTCAGCCGACTTGTCTGCTGCTGTGACTGCTGTCGGCCTATCTCAACTTGTTACTTCTTGTCTTGCATGTACACACTCCGTTGAAATGAAATCAAAGGAAAATGATGACCAAGCACAGATAAAATGACTTTTGACGCTTGACCTGCATCTGGTCTGGTCAATGACGTGCATGCTCGACAGAAAACAGCCTCATTTTAGAATTATTAAGTTGGTATATTAGGTGGTGTTTGGATCAGGGACTTAACTTTAGGCCCCGTTTGGTAGAGCTCCTAACTCCAACTCCCAACTCCAAACTCCAACTCCGGTGAGAGCTAGCTCCTCTAGGAGCTGAGGTAGGTAAAAAAGTGTTTGGCTAGATTACTCAGCTCCACATTTCTACATCCTTTGTCGCCATTTCATCGAACACCTTCTAGGCGTCGCCTTGACGTTGCCGCCGCAGCCGGTCAGCCCACGAGCCACCGCCGCCGGGAAGCCCACACATCTCCGCCGCCTCCCAAGCCGTTGCGCAAGCGCCGCCGCACAGGCCGCCGCCGTCGCCCAGGCTGCCTCCTGCCGACGCCCCCGCACGCGAGTCGCCTGCCGACGCCGCCGCCGCGTGCCGCCCGTCGCGGCCACCGCAACACCGCCCGCAGCCGCCGCCACCGCCTGCCGCCGCCGATGCGCCGTGGCCTGCTGCCCCCGTATGCTGCCAACGCAGACGCCGCCACAACCGGTTGTGGCCGTCGTCGGAGGATGGGGAAGAAGATGGGCCGCCGCCACCTGCTGGCCCCGCCGCCGCGCCGCCCGGCCCCGGCCCCCAAAAGCCGGTCCCCGCCGGGGCGCCCCCCCCCCCCCCCCCCCCGCCGCCAGCCTCCGGCCGCGCGTGCGCGCCGCCCGTCGTCATCCCGCAGCCGCCGCCGCCCGCCGCTGTCGCTACCCGTCGCCGTCGACGCTGCCGCAGCCCGCCGATGCCGCCGCACTAGCTCGGGATTGGGAGGAAGATTGGGGGAGGAGAGAGAACGGGAGGAAAGAAGGGGTGAAAGGGTAGTTGAGTGGCATTTTCGTGTAAATACACTAAAATATTAGAGGGTAGTGGGTCTTTTGGGGTGGAGTGGAGCTGTGGAGCAAGCAAAAAACCCCAGTTTCCACCCCCGTAGTTCATTTTCTAGGAGTAGCTCTGCCAACTCCACTCCAAAAAAAGGTGAATCTGGACCGTTTGGCACAGCTCCCGCTCCAGGTAAGTTGGAGTTGGGAGCTAGAGTTGTGCCAAACGGGGCCTTAGTCTCTATATTTAGACACTAATTTAGAGTATTAAATATAGACTACTTACAAAACTAATTATATAGATGAAAGCTAATTTGCGAGACAAATTTTTTTTAAGCCTAATTAATCCATAATTAGAGAATGTTTACTGTAGCATCACATAGGCTAATCATGGATTAATTAGGCTCAATAGATTCGTCTCGCGAATTAGTCCAAGATTATGGATGGGTTTTATTAATAGTCTACGTTTAATATTTATAATTAGTGTCCAAACATCCGATGTGATAGGGACTTAAAAGTTTTAGCCCTATCTAAACAGGGTCTTAGGGGCTGTTTGGGATGTGAGGGACTTACTGAGAGGAACTAAAATAAGTCCCTCCCATCCAAACACCACCTTATACCCCCTCTGTCCCATAAAAAATAAATCTACGATCGGATGTGACATATTCTAGTACGATGAATCTGGACATATGTATGTCCAGATTCGTAGTATTAGGATATGTCACATCCGGTATTAGGTTGGTTTTATATGGGACGGAGGGAGTATATGGGACTAGCTGATCCCCGTCTCTACTTGTTCGGTTAAGAGAGCTTGGAGGAGATCGATCAAGGGAGAAAAGTTTTATACCACAATATGTCTCATTTAGTAGCCTGAATTCTGTTGAGATTCTGACCCATTTCCCGAAGAAAAGACCAACGAGAAAATTTTATGGGCCAATTCTCTTATCCAATTGAAAGCCCACGGGATGAGGTATTCCAAACCCGTTTCATGTGGGATCCTTGGGAACCAAACCATGTTTACAGAGGGGAATTTCCCTCGCTCAAGATACTCAAGATACCATTGAGCCTCCCTTCTCACCAGCCCTAGCCTTTTCTCCTCCTCCTCTGGCAAGCCATTACCGTCGCCCCTCCCTGTTTGGGATCTAGGGTTCAGGCCTTCTTTCCTCTCCTCTCATCTTCCTAGGATTTCATAGCAGGTGGAGTTGGTGAGGATGTGGGCATGTGGCCGAAGCCACTCGAGTTTGATGAGGTAACACTGGTCTAATATAGTAAAAAGTCGATCTCGAGGAAGAATTCTGCTACCATTATAGAAGAAGGGATTGCTAGGCTCCTGTGGATTTCTTAGACTTCTTTCTCAGTACCTCTGTTGTGCCATTCATTTTCAAGGAAGAATTTTCGATGCAATTATAGAAGGGGATTGCTCCCGTGGATTTCTTAGACTTATTCTCAGTACAATGTACCTGAAAATGTACATGGAAGTTGGGGGAATCTATTTAGTTCGTAGGGAAGTACAATATAATGTTCATGAAAATGTACAGGAAGTTGAGTAAATGCACGTGGATTTGGACTGTCATTACAATCGTTGTATGTTTCTGTTAATTGCATTGCAGATTGGAGGAAGTAACTGGTTATAGCATTTTAATTTGGACAGGAATCTTGGCTGGTTGATCGAGGAGGAGGGATGATTAGTAAAAGTAATTTTTTGTAATGTATCGACTAAATATCTTGTTTTACTAATCTTCCTAGATAATCTTGTTCTCTTATACTTTCTTCTATTTGAAAAATAATTCTTAATGGGCTCATAGGTAGTACTCCTTTCACCAAAAGAGTTAAACATATTAATTTTATCACCAAGACAAAGGAGAAATTAACACATCTGGCATGTAATAAAGATTAAAAAGAGACAACTAATAAGGGTTAAGATGACTCTTCAGGTTCCGATTAAACATTTAATTTATCTCCTCGTTTAAGTTTTAGATAAATGAAAACTACAAATATGGTTAACATATTTGAAAAAAAATTAAAATATGAAATAAGTCTAACATTTGGGAAGGAGGGAGTATTGGAAACAAGTGCATGTTCATTGGATGCACTCTAAACCTCATTTTCTAGGCTGTGTTCATGTGTTAGAGTTCTTTTTTTTTTCCTAAATTCCTATATTTAGTATATGGGTTGGCGAATTTTTTGCGTGGTCTGAGGACCACCCTATAAATCCATTCTTGCTATAAAATAAACTTCATTTCATTGGCAGCGGAATACTCCAGTTCTACTTATTATACTACTCTTCGTCTAAAATATATGACGTATCGTTGCTGCTGCTGTGACTGGTTGTCGGCCCATTGAAATGATCAGTAGCTGGTTCTTGGTCCTGCATGTACACACTCCATTGAAACAAATGGGTTGCGTTTAGCTCAGCGTAAAATTTAGATTTTGGTTAAAATTGGATATAATGTGACTAAAAAAATTATATGTATGACAGGTTGATGTGATGAAAAAGGACTGAAGTTTAGATCCAAACTTTAGATCTAAACACAGCCAAGTAAAAAATGATGAGCAAACTGCCAGAGATAAAATGACTCTTGACGAGACCTGCATCTTGTCTGGTCAAAGACGGCATGCTTGCTATTGGTCGACAGGAGACTGTCTCAGAGAATTAAGTTAGTATTCATTGACACATGGGCCTCGCTGACCCCAGTCCTAAGTATTCCTAGGATTCCACTTTATTAATGTTCTTAATATGAATGATTACTGGAGAGCCCAGCACTAATTAATTGCTCACATGTACTCCTTACATAAAAAAAATCCAATTCTAATTATAAATAATGTGAGCACATATTCAGCTTCATAGCTAAGATTAGATTTTTACACATGCAGGTTTATAGCTACAATTAGGCTTTTTTTTTACTTAGGGTGTAGACAGAAAGTACACTTAAAGTCAAGAAGTTATATCTATGGTATCAAAACACAATAGTAGTACTGTTGGTTACAAAAAATTTTCACGTCATATATTACTAACGATCTAACGTTGACTTATACTTCTTCCGTCCTAAGATATAAGGGATTATACTTTTTTTTTTGCAAAAAATAAGAAAGTGGCGAAAGGAAAAAAGACAATACGAAAGTGATGATTGGAGAAATTAATTAGTAAAAAACATCATATGAAGGAATAAATTAGTTACAAAGGTGGTAGGTGAAGAATAAAGTACCGTCTTAGAATTATAAAATCACTTTTATTAATTTTTGAGGATATAATCTCTTCCAATATGAGACGAATGGAGTAGGCTTGATCACATGATTCACTATTTGAGTATGCCAAAGTTATTGGCTAGCAGGCTGTTGGATTCATCATGCTGTATTGGGATGATTTTGTGCCTGGCGACTGTTTAGGAATTGCTAACTTTTTCTCTCTCATCACCTTCTCTTACAAAGCAGGTACGATAATATATATAACTAGCTACTTACTGTAAAAATTGTCAGCTGGTGTTTAAAGATATAGAATAGCATTGTATAACACATGATTCACAAAACAAGTTTGGCATAAAGTTATTGGCTAAAAGACAGTTGGATGCATTGTGCTGTCATATATAGGAAGAAAAAGTTTGTGCATATTCTTTCCATTATATACTTGAAAGACAGTTGGATGCATTGTGCTGTCAAATATAGGAAGAAAAAGTTGTGCATATTCTTTCCATTATATACTTGTCACTGGGTGCTATACTGCTTTCTTTTTTTTTTATAGGGGAGTGCTATACTGCTATTCATATTTAAAATTTTATTATCATTTGTCTATTTTATCAGAGCTTATAAATTAAACGTTGTTGTATTATAAATGTAAGCACTAAGTTTTCCTTAAAAATTTATTAATGGTCCATGTTAAAACAGAGTCGGTGCACAATAACATACTCCATTTCATATTATAAGTCGTTTTACTTTTTTCTTAATAAAACTTTTTTAATGTTGATCAAGTTTATATAAAAATATAATAGTATTTTTAACCCAAAACAAACATATTATCGAAATATATTTAATATTAGATTTAATAAAAATTAATTTGATATTTTAGGTATTGCTAAATTTTTCAATAAATTTAATCAAACTTAACAAAGTTTAACTTAAAAAAGTCAAACGACTTATAATATCATCAACTACATCTAATACTCCATTCTACTCCATAGCTAAAGAGGTGCTAGACTGCTATATAGCTAGAGCTAGTGCCACTCGCTTTGCACACAGCGACCGCCATGGATTCCAACCTCGCCGTGCTCCTCGCCATCGTCGTCGCCGTCGTCTGCGTCGCGCGCACCACGCCACCGGCGTTCGCGCAGACGGTGCAGGTGTGGTCGGAGTGCTCGCCGCAGAACTACACCGCCGGGAGCGCCTACGGCACGAGCCTCCGCGGCGTGCTGAAGGACGTCGTCGACGCCGCGGTGTCCGGCGGTGGATACGCGGTGGCCAACGACGCCGGCGGCGCCGCGCACGGCCTCGCCATCTGCTACGCCGACGCGCCGCCGGAGGTGTGCCGGCTCTGCCTGGCCATGGCGGCGGGCAACCTGTCGCTCGCCTGCCCGCGCGCCGTGGGCGGCGCCATGCTGTACAACAACTGCCTGCTCCGGTACGCCGGCGGCGCGCCGTTCCTGGCGCGGCCGGACATGGCCCAGGAGTTCTCGTTCTACAACCCCAACATGACGAGCGCCGGCGACGCCGCCCAGTTCGGCGCCGCGCTCAGCCGGCTCATGGACCGCCTCGCGCTCGCCGCCGCGTCGTCGTCGTCGTCTTCCCGTGGCCGGCGGTTCGCGTTCGGGCAGACGAACATCACCGGCGACGGCGGCGACAGCCTCTACGCGTTCGTGCAGTGCGTCGACGACCTCTCGCCGGACGACTGCCGCCGCTGCCTCCAGAGCATCGCGGCGTCGCTGCCCATGTAAGGATTGACATTGAGACTGCAATGCTGGGGTGGGCATCCTCAAATGAGCTTTTTCAAAAATCACAGCCCATATTTCATAGTTACTTTTTAAAATGCTACAGTCTACAGCTAATTTTTTAAAAGCCATAGCCCGACCAAATACAACCTAAGCTTGCATGGACATGGTTGCGGTGCAGGACGAGAGGAGGGCGTGCCTACTCGCTGACGTGCTACACGCGGTTCGAGGTGGTGCCGTTCTACAGGCCACCGACCGCGACGAACCTCGTGGTGGTGGCGTCGACGGCGCCGGCGCCGGAATCGGCTTTGCTCCCCACGGAATCAAGAGGCGAGTAAAGACTAATACTTACATGCATGCAAGGCTGCAGCTAAGCTAGCTTCTCCTTATTCCTTCTCACTTTAAATATTTTTTTTAAACTGCTTATATGATGTATAATCCAATCACATCATTATATTTATTTTGATTAAATCTTTTATATTTTGATGGAAAATCATATATTTCATTGTTTCATTTAATAACATGTTTTAACATGTGTCTTCACTTGAAAAATAATTAAATGTTTATTTGATTTTTTTATCACGTATAATTTAATGTTTAACCGATGGTCAAATAAAATCTGGTTTTTGTTTTAGAAAAATCAGAAGCTCGATTTATAGTTTTTCCTATATTTAAGATAACAGAAATGGTTTATATTATTGGCATCGTAAGCTTGGTGTAGTGGTATCGACCCTACCCAGGCGGTAACTGTGTAGTTACCCCGTTGAGCGGTTGAAAAATTTGTACAAAATTTATTGAACTTCTTGTAATCTTTTGAGGCGTTGCCTCTGTACTGTAATGTCTGGGGCTGCACCCAAAACTTTCCCCTGGTCTTTCAATAGAAGCCGGACCTATGGGCTTCTTTTTTTTTTACAAAAAAAAAAACTATGTAACCTTACCGCATCCGGCGATTGTATGCAGTAATGGCACCATATATAAGTCATAAGGCATATAATTATTATTTTTAAAAAATAGATAAATGATGATAGAACTTCCCTTATTACTGACCAGTACTAATAACAGAGTAACATATATTGTAGCCAGCAAGTTGTATTTTTTTTTCCAATCACGTTGCCATGAGTAAAATAAAAGACATTTGACTACCAGTCTACCTAGTCTGAGTGTAGCACCACTCGAACCAAACCATTTGTTCTTCTCCCTCCATTAGAAAATATAAGGCACAATCAGTCTTAACCTAAATATCAAGAAATAATTATTATCACCTCCTAGTTTAGACCACCCTAATAAATATAATAAATACATCCAATAGAATTAGAGATATTGAGGGTGGAGAATTTTAAAAAAGTAATAATTTAATATGAAGATGTCATAATTAATTGTATGCATGCAGGCATGCCTTATATTATGGAACATAAAAAAATAATAGATGTGTCTTATATTATGGAACGGAGGGAGTAGATTCTTTGGAACCCTTCTCCCCGGCACGCAAAACGAAGCTCATATTATTGCATGATTAATTAAGTATTAACTTTTTTTTAAATATTAATATGATTTTTTAAACAACTTTTATATAGAAGGTTTTTCATAAATAGCATCATTTATCAGTTTAAAAAACATACGCGCGGAAAACGAGAGAGGTTTGTTGGTAAAATGGGAAAAGAACACGATCCATTTAAATGTCGTTGGCACTTGGCACCATATTTGAGAGGGTAACAAAACGACAATTATTCTTGCCTGCCCAGCGAGTGAGTGCCTGAGCCGCAGACTTAACAGAGACCAAACTTCAGTTGAGGATTTCATATGTCAGGTCCAGCTCAAGAGTATTCAGATGAATATGTAAGAATTTCATATAAAACTTACTCCCTCCGACCTAAAATATAACAACTTTCAGCCTCTAGAATTTGTCTTAAAATATAACAACTTCTACATCAATATTTTCTTCTCAACCAATCACAATCCTTCACTGTACAAATTTTTCACCTACCTCAACTTCTCATTCAATCACAACTCTCATCTATTTAATTCTATCTATCTTTTTAATAACGGTCTTCAACTCTAAAAATGGTTATATTCTAGAATGGAGAGAGTATATACTATATGCAATTAGTATAGTATTCGTATACTATATGTTATAAATATGTTATACCATTAGTATATATATTATGCACGTCAGCTTTTAGCTATAAAATCCTCTTTAACCTTTTATATTTTGAACACGATACTTTAAAATCGTAATCCCGCCTCTGTATATGTGTACGAGGATAGATGTGTTTTTCGTCGTATGGATATAATACGGATTCGTACAGTACCGGACGTGTGCGCTTCACACTCAAGCTAGTGCACGGGTAAAAGGTTGCCGACCACCGAAAGTGGGCAACTCAAGAGAGTATAATTTTAACCTGACCCCTTCGCTTTGATTAATGCTGATTGCTTCTCAAATTAATTAATTAATGTTGGTAGAACTGTAATCACGAGGAGGTGGTGTAAGAATGCAAAAGCTTGTAATAAAAAAAATGAAGAAAAAAGGAATGCAATCTTGTGTGTGTGTTTATATATATTTTCCAGCCATTGCTCTGGTGATGCACGGTATCTTGTGTCGCTGTCCATGACCTATTTCTCCGTCATCTTATTGTAATTGGTACTCCCTAATTTCCAAAATAAACTAACCTTATATAGTAAGTATGTGATGTATTTTAATACTATGAATTTAGATATTTCTACCACTATAAATCTAGACATGTAATCTCGTATAGGATATAATGCATCCTATATAAATTTGGACATGTATCATATCCTTCAGTTTATTTTAGAATGAAGGGAGTACCATCCATCTTCCTCATATCTGACATGGAGGAACACTGATCCATCACATATCTGTGTCTCCTTTTTGCCCTTGCCTTTGACCCTACCTATGATTTTGCCTTGACTTAGTGGCGGTGCTGGGAGTGAGAAAAAAAAACCAAACTCAGGCCATGTTTAGTCCAAAACCTTTTTCCCAAAAACATTACATCGCATATTTGAACACATGCATTAAGTATTAAATATAGATAAATTTAAAAACTAATTACACAGTTAGGGGAGAAATCGCGAGTCGAATCTTTTTAGCCTAATTAGTCTATGATTAGCCATAAGTGCTACAGTAACCCACACGTGCTAATGACGGATTAATTAGGCTCAAAAGATTCGTCTCGCGGTTTGCAGGCAAGTTATGAAATTAGTTTTTTCATTCGTGTCCGAAATCCCCTTTCGACATCCGGTCAAACGTACAATGTGACACCCAAAAATTTTATTTTCGCGAACTAAACAGCCCCTCAATTAGCCAAACTTTACCCGGGTTACTAAAATGTAACTTATAAAAATAATGTCATTTTAATTAGTTGATTTGATGCAGTTCAGTTTTGATTTCAGTAATTTGATATAATATAACCAAACAGAGTGATTGTTACAAAAACTATATAAACAATATTATAGATTTTTATGAGAATGTGCATATTTGAAATGATGAATTCAATAATCAATAGTATTTTGTTCTGAACCGTTGTGTGAACTGACATGTTATGTAGATAACACGTTTGACACAAACATTTTGATTATTAGACTTGAAAATTAATAATACATTTTTTTTTTGAGAAAATGTTGTGTAAAATATCATATTTAGACAATGTTTATGTTCCACATCTGTGAAGCAGTCAGATATCCGGAGAGTACACAATTGCTGCTAAGGATCGGAATGGCACGTTATCTTGCAATTAGATCCTAGTGTCATATTTGTACATTTTGCAAATGTTACCATTGTTCTGTTTCAATTGAATCTCATACTTATACAACTTTTCTGTGCAGATGGTAGGCCTAGCAAGTTACGCATGAGGTTGGCATTGGCAGGTATTACGTAGAAACATAAAGTATACATCTTGTTAATTTTTTGGTTTATTCTTGGTGGTTGCCATAATTAATCATACTGATTTTATAGGGTATATGTTGTTCTATTTTCTGAATTTATAACTGGTGTTACCTTTTTTTTATTTCTTTTGGTTTTACATGTAATCTCGGTCCTGTTGTCTGCTTTTAAGTAAACCCAAAATATTAATTTTGTCACTACTCAACAAACATTGATATCTGTTTTTCCATCACTGTCCAGTCAGCACTGTTTAGTTATCATATTTTTACCCCAAAAGACAGTAACGACCTTATAGGCTGCATAAAAAAAAAGTGGAAATCAAGAACAAATTTCACGAAAAAAAATACAGAAATCCATGGACTTCCTTAATAAACAGTGAAAGAAAAGTCCCTAATGAAGAAACACATTTATGGAAGCAATTTTTCCATTTCTTAACAAATATAGGGCATGATATTCTTTTTTATTTTTGATAAACAACAAGCATTGACTGGAAAAATATCACATTTGCTAAAAATGAAGTGTAGGATGATAGAACAATGAGTAGGTTAATTTCAATGAGCCGAACGAGGGAAAAATCCTCTGTTTAACCATGGCACTATGATTCTTATAGCATGGCAGATTATAGGACCATCAAAAACCTCTATTGCTTTTTTTTTTAAGATGCAACTAGCGCTCGCTAGCTGATTTTTCATTCCTATTGTAATGACTAATATTGAGCATACAACTCACCTTCATTCTTTGTACTAGTTTCAACTGTTGCAGCCAGTCTCTTGGTCATATCTTGCTTCATTGTTGTGAAAATTCGTAAGAGTGGAAAATTTCAGTTGAGGATCATTGGAAAGAACTCCAATCCTAAGGAAAATATTGAAGAGCTACTTGATAACTATGGTTCACTAGCGCCCAAGAGATACAAGTACTCACAACTAAAGGATATGACGGGATCTTTCAGTGAGAAGCTAGGAGAAGGTGGCTATGGAATGGTATACAAAGGTACTTCACCTGATGGCCACTCTGTTGCTGTGAAATTTCTCCATGATTTGACAAGGAATGGAGAAGAATTTGTAAATGAGGTTATCAGCATTAGAAGGACTTCCCATGTTAATGTGGTTACACTTGTTGGTTTTTGTTTGGAGGGATCCAAACGAGCTCTTATCTATGAATACATGCCTAATGGATCATTGGAAAAATTCATTTATGCTGAAAATTCAAAAACAACACTAGGATGGGACAAACTTTATGATATAGCAGTGGGCATTGCCAGAGGCTTGGAGTATTTGCACCGAGGTTGTAATACACGCATCATACACTTTGACATCAAACCTCACAATATCCTACTTGACCATGATTTTGTCCCAAAAATTGCCGACTTTGGCTTGGCTAAGTTATGCAATCCGAAGGAAAGCTACCTTTCAATGGCCGGTATGCGAGGAACAATTGGGTTTATTGCACCAGAAGTATTTTCAAGAAGATTTGGAGTTGTTTCAACTAAGTCAGATGTCTATAGCTATGGAATGATGCTTCTTGAGATGGTCGGGGGAAGGAAGAACTTGAAAGCAAGCGTTGATAACCCAAGCGAGATGTATTTTCCGGACTGGATTTATAGGTGTTTGGCAGATGTTGGAAGCTTGCACTCGTTTGACATGGAACATGAAACTGAGGAGATTGCAAGAAAAATGGCCTCAATTGGCCTGTGGTGCATACAAGTATCACCTAGCTCTCGCCCTACGATGAGCAAGGTTTTGGAGATGTTTGAAAGAAGTGCTGATGAACTTGAGATACCACCAAAACATTGTTTTTACTCAGCCATACAGTAAGTATTTTACACCATTGTGCATCTGAAGCAAGTAGAGTAAAACGGAAAACTCAAATGATCCCTTAAGGGGATATCCCCTCATTTTTACATGTCACTTAAAAAGTCATCAAATTTTTTTTTAAAAAATAGTAGGATTGATCAATATGTGATATGTCACTTCACAAACATGCAAATTCAAATTCAACACAAGTAGAAACAAAAATAAGAAATTTGACTATGAAGTGAACGTGTAATTCACGGTCAAATTTGTTATTTTTGTTTCGAATTGTATAAGTCAAATTTTAACTTACATGTTTGTGAAAAGATATATCATATATTGATCTATCTTGACAATTGTTTTAAAAAAGATTTGATAACTTTTTGAACGACATGCACAAAACGAGGGATGTCCCCTTGAGGAACAAAAATCCACTTCCGAGTAAAACACGTTTAAATTTGGTTTACCCTTCTCCCAGTTGAGAAACATGTATACTCATCTTTAATAGTAAAATATCTTCCTGATTAAGTTCAAAACATGAATTTATTATTACTGAGCACACCACCGGTGTTACCATTTACTGATTCGAGGATATTAGAAACCAGCTATGTTTTTTCATGGTATCATAAAAGTGGCATTATTTGGAGGGAAGAAACATAAATAAATCGCTGAACATTTTCTCTTTATTTTTATTATGTAATAATAATTTCATTTTATGAACTTTTTATTGGAACAACCTGCAGGGAGGATTCTTTTGAACAAGAGAGCTACCTACAAATTGTTACCATTTCCCCTCCAGTTTGAGTTTATACATGTCTATCCAGCACAGGATCCGTGAGTAATTTTGGGCAACTTAATTTAAAGTTATTACTGTTGGCAACTCTGTAAGAGCAGGTAGAATAGCATACTATAAGTCAGCTATAAACATATAAAGGAAGAGAGAGAAAAGTAGCGGGCTACAGATGTAGCACGGACTCCAAACCGTAATGTGTGTATGACAGGTAGGACCAGGTACTAATATTATAGTAAGTAACTATTGTATGAATTGGCTATTACATTGGCTATAGATGATTTGGAGCTAATAGTTAGCTATACTATTAAACTTGCTCTAAGGATCACAAAAGATCTCTACATATGTACAATAATGTGACTCACCATTAATCAACACTTATCAAGTTTGGTTATTGAATTATTTTGTGAATTCTTTGTAAAAAAATTGAACAGATGGAGTATTGTTTTCACTGATTAGTCTGCACTTTATTGTCGTCAATATTTACATGGTGTCCAAACTAAGGCCAGAACGGCTTTTGGATTTGGGCCTTGGCTACAGCTGCAGCCTGTTCTTCCGTCCTCCACTTTATAATACTTGACAATTTCAACTTTATATTGTTTTAGTTCCAAAACTTCTATTCTATAAATTAACTTGTAAGCATTAAAAATACATGATATTATTAGTATAAAAAAGGACTACCTTACATAGAAAATGTAAAAAAAATATAAATATATTGAGAGCTATCGGTGATGAAAGCTTTAATAGTTTGGCCGAATATGGAGGGAATAGCTCACAACAAGTGGTCCGAATAATGCAATCCAATAAAGCTATTTGAGATATTCTACGGTAATAATGGGATGAATAATACGAAAATAACACGGCCATGTGAAATGGACGAGCGTATCTACTGTGCATGTGTACCGCAGAAACAACTGTGTTGTTTCATTTGATGTGTTCTCTTTGAAAGAAATCAGATACTTTTCATACTACCAAATTGATAAAACAGAAGAAATAATATTTTTTAAAACACCGTACAAATGCTTGCACTCATAATGCACGAATACTAATCCTCCTAAACGTACACACGCTCTATCCCTACAAACATATGCCGATATATCTTAAGATTGACGGAATCCACACAGACGGCTCGCTGTCGATAGATATTTCGCCTACCAATGAAAAAATAATTAGCCATAAATACGAGTAACTGTGTCAAAGCCTAGGAAATAAAAGTAGTACTTACAAATTAAGAAACAAAGAAGTAATAAAAATATCAAAAGCCAAAAAATAAATCAGTCAAATTTCTGAAAAAAAAAGAGAAATAAATGCGTAGAGAACTAAAACAAAGATTGGAAGTACTTTTTTTTTTTTAAGAACAGATTGGAAGTACTTGGTTGTCATGTTTCTTCATTTCTTTTAGGGACAATTTTGTTTATGCCCCTACTTTCATACCTAATTTTAATTGTACCTTTATTTTTTTAGGTTTTCGTTTTTGCCCTCGCTTTTTTAACTGAATGAGGCGTTTAGCCTTATTTTTTTTACGGAAGGGAGTGGAGAAGAGTTTTTTGCAATAAAAAAATAGAGAAAAAAGAAATAAATATTTTCCAAAATATTGATTGACCTTTTTGCCCTTAGGAAATTTAGGACTAATATCTGCCTCCACTCCACAAGACCACAACCTGTGCTTAGGGTTGAAACTGGTTCGGATAGTTTCCGTCCGTCCGGATCAGTTTTTGGTTTCGGATAGTTTTGGTCGGAACTATCCTGAAATTCTCGGATTCGGAAACGAATTTGGATTTTTTTTCTCGGAAACGAAAACGAATACAGTAAGGGTAGTATCCGTCGGAATCGGAAAGCGGTCGGAAACTATCCGGAATTTTTTTTTATATCCGCAGACATTGAGCAAATTTTAAAAAAACACGTATATATACATAACTTTTTCATACGGAATCAGATGAAGACAAACTTTATATCAACATTGTAGGCTCGATGAGATCTACAACTTTCTTATTGACTATTTTATTATTTGGGGTCATTTAAGGGTCTAAATATTCATTATAATATACCATATTAATTTTTACAAAATCTCAGATGTACAATTCAAACGACATCTGATGGAGATGTGTTCTATATCAAAGTTGTAGAGCTCAATGGGATCTACCACTTTGTAGTTTATAGCATTTATATTTGAAAGCATTTAAAGTATAAAACAAACATTACAAGTTTCAAAGATGTGAAATAAAATAAATAACATCTCCAATTTATACAATGGTAAGTAATAAGTTATACATCTAGTAAAAGGTCTTGGGAATAGAAAATGATAATCATATTTGCATATGGATCTCTTAGAGGAACAGCCATGAAAATCGATTTTCACATATGGTTGTGGGACCGTCTACAAAATTGACGATATAAATGTTGGAGATGTTGATCTAAAATAATAAGCGATATCGTCTCCTTTGTAATAATTAAGTGTGTAAAATCAAAGGTGTTTTTGATTATTATTCTGTGATGAACAATTGGCATTGGAGATTATTGGTTTTGTTATTTGGAATTTATTCACGAAGTGGTTTTGGAGATGATTGGATTTCACAGGTGAATCTACAGGATACTGCTGTTATTTCATGTGACCGGTCAGACCGTGACCGGTCAGACCGGGCAGGTGTTGCCGGTCAGACCGGCTGTATGCGCGTGGTCAGATCGGCCAGCCCGCGGTTTGATCGGCCGATACTGCCTACCTCGGGTATAAATAGAGGGGGAGCGTGAGACTTTCCGGTATCGCTTTTAAGAGCAATTGAGTTGAGTTTTGAGTTAGGGTTTCGAGTGTAGTCGAGATTTTTGTAAGGAGTGCTGTTGGTGCACTTTGTAAACACATAGAGAAGCAATAAAGTCGTCATCTACTTTAAGAGTTCTTCGATTTGTGTTTCACCAGGTTTCGGTCGTCTAACCAGCGACTCACCGGCGGTCAGACCGGCGGCAAGGCAGCGGTCAGACCGGCGGGAGCGAGGTGGTCAGACAGGCGGTGGCATCAGGCGCGGCAGGCGACTTCGGCGGTCAGACCGGTTGATCTACACCGGTTAGACCGGCAGTATCCGAGCGGTCAGATCGGAAGATCAATCGCGGTCAAACCGACTTCCGTCGAATTCGAGGGTAACTTTTATTTCCACTAAAAGTTTTCGGTTTTTGGGTATATCAACCATTCACCCCAGCTCTGGTTGGCTTAGTTATTGTGATTCGATCCTACAAGTGGTATCAGAGCCTTGTTTTCTTCTTTGGATTTTTATCGATCTAGAGTTTTTGCCATGGCTACTCCTGTTAGGTTTTCAACTAAGCCTCATGTTTTCGATGGAACGGATTTTTCTCACTGGTGTAGTAGGACGCAATCTTACATTATGGCTGAAGATTATGATATTTGAAGAAAAGTTTCTCACCCTTATGTGATTCCTGAAGTTATTAATACTACTGCTGTAAAAACTGAATTTGAACAAAATTGCAGAGCTCACAATATTCTTTTGAGTGGGATTTCTCGTTCAGATTATGATCGTGTTGCGCATTTTCAAACTGCTCATGAGATTTGGAATGCTTTGAGTAACTTTCATCGAGGAACAAATAACATTAAAGAACTTCGTCGTGATATTTTCAAAAAGGAGTACATTAAATTTGAGATGAAACCTGGAGAAGCTTTGGATGACTATCTTTCTAGGTTTAATACAATTTTGAGTGATCTTAGATCTGGTTATTCTTCTTATGATGCTAATTATCCACAATCTGAGATTTCTTGTCACTTTTTGAATGGTCTTGACATGTCTATTTGGGAGATGAAAGTTACATCTATTCAGGAGTCGGTTAACATGTCTACTTTGACTTTGGATTCGCTTTACACAAAATTGAATACACATGAGATGAACGTTCTTTCTCGTAAAGTTGATTCTAAGTCGAGTGCTTTGGTTTCTTCTTCTTCTTCTTTGGATGTTGATGCTTCTTCATCTAAGCCTTCTCTTCTTGCTGTTTTTAATGCCACATCCGATGATCAACTCGAACAGATCGAGGAGGAGGATTTGGCTTTGGTTGCTATTAAAATTGCTCGAGCTATGAATAATGCTAGGAACAGGAAAAGAGGTGGTCCAAATCGTTGCTTTGAATGTGGTTCAATTGATCATCTTCGTTCGCATTGTCCTAAGCTTGGGAGAGGCAAAAGAGAAGACAAAGATGGTGAGAAGACCAACAACAACAAGTCGAAGGGTACATCCTA